TAATTGTAGATGAACACAATACCTTTTTCTATTTATTTATTTTTATGTAGCACTAAGGATTGAACCCAGTGCCTCACAAGTGCTAGGCAAGCACTCTATCACTGAGCCACAACCCCAGCCTGACAGGATTACTTTAAATGGGATCCAATATGCAAGATGCTGGAGTCCCAGTCCACCCACACCACTAAGAAGTTCTAAAATTTGCAATGTCATTTCTTGGAAATGTGTTAAAATGCCTTTTTCAAAGAACACAGAAGGCAAGGCTAGAATTTGTGGTGATGTTGCCTTTTTGTGGTAGAATACATAAAATGTAAATCCAAATGTTTTGTTAATTATTAGTTTTATTATTCTACTCTTGACTACTTTGGGAAGGAAACCAATGCAAAACAAATGTTGCTCCTGCCAGATTGAATAAATGTGGCTCGCTTCAGAGCAGCTAGGGCAGCCAGGCTGGACATCCTAGAGGGAATGACCAGGCCAAAGAACTCAAGGAGACCTGAGGATCACTGTCCTATAGCTGTCTGCATCTTACAAAGGGGATGCAGAGAGTTGATGGCACCTCCCACCCCAAGGCCACCATCACTGCCGGGTCTCAAGGGCAGAGCTCCTGGATACTGGAGTCAGGACTGCAATGGAGGTTACAGATCCCATGTTTCCACCAAAGCCATGATTTTGAACACCCTGCCCTGCTTTTGTTCACAAATGCATTCCTATTTGCCAGCCAGGTGGCTCAGATTTTTGTTTGAAAAACACGGTCACTATCACAGCATCACAGTGCTTTCCTTGTGTGTCCACAGAGGGACTCTGATGGCCCCTATCTTCAATGCACACAGCAGGTTCTGTGCTGGGTGTTCTGAACCTCAGTCATCATTTGATTGACTGGCTTTTACTCTTTAGAGGCTCAGAGGGGTTGGCTGCTATAGGGCATGGTGAAGATCTATGTCCCTATGATGGTTAATTTTATGTGTCAACTTGGCTAGGCTATGATGTCCAATGTTTGATAAAACACCAATCAAGATGTTACTGTGAACGTCTTTTTCTTTTTTGTGTTTTTTGTTGTTGCTGTTGTTGTTTTGAGAGTGGGGATTGCACCCTGGGGCACTTAACCACTGAGCCACATCCTCAGCCATTTGTATATTTTATTTAGAAACAGGGTCTTGCCAAGTTGCTTAGGACCTTGCTAAGTTGCTAAGGCTGGCTAGAACCAACAATCTCCTGCCACAAGCCTTCTGAGCCACTGGGATTACAGGTGTGTGCCACCACGCCTGGCACATGAAAGTCTTTTTCAAACATCATGAATACTAAAATCAGTAGATTAAGCAAAGTAGATCACCCTCCATATGTAGGTGAGACTCATCCAATCAGTTGAAGGCCTTCAGATCAAAGATCAGGGGCCCCGAAGAGCAAATTCTGCCTCCAGTTGCCTTTCATCCCAACACCGCTGCATCAGCTCCTGCTAGAATTTCCAGCTTCTGTCCTGCAGAATTCAGAACTGCTTGTCTCCTGTCCACAGAGGACAATTTTCTGTCTCCGTGTGTGTGTGTGCATACACACACACATCTTGTCAGTTCTGTCTTTCTGAAGGACCTGCCTGATACAGTTCTGCGCTCCCTGGCAAGATGCTCATGCTTTCAAGTACACTCACAGAGGCCAGCCCCACAGACAGAAGCACACACTAAGCACATGATCTTGCTCACCACTTCTGCCCATATAATCTTATTTCACACAGATGCTCCATGACAATAAGATGGTATGTGTTTTTCTCCAGTTAAAATTTTTGGTTTTATTTTTGTAGGCCGTGGTAGGGACTATTTGGGAATTGTARGGACTTAGGGTTTCTAACATGGCCAAGCAAAATCTTATAAAAATGACACTGTCCCCATTGTTTAGCTRTGATCTCAGCTGCCTCTGTAGGGCCACAAAGTGCAGTTGCCAAGGGACAAATTCGCTTCCTCTTTGGGGTCACGGGTATTGGGGGAGAATAGGAAGGAAGTTATGGGAAATGCACCCCAGAAAAACACACGTTCCCATACACCACTGAGTGACAGGCAGGCTCTCTGATGGGGAAAGCTCATGGGGGAGAGAGTGCTGTAGACCAAAACCAGAGCAGCAGCGCAAGCAGAAAGAACAGCCGTGGGCAGGGCTCAGCCAAAGCCAGCCAGCATTAACTGAGTTCCGCAACATGCTGGGTGCTGACGGAAAGGGCTGACCACACCCAGGCCATGGCAGGAAATGGGAGAACCAGGGGGGCTCAGCTCTTTTGTCTGGAAGGTTCTCAAGAGTCTCTGAGCCCAACCTAGAGTTAACTCTCCACAGGGAGATGCAGAATGGGTAATTCTCAACACACTCCTGCCAGAGCTTCAGGGCCTCKATGGCACAGATGACCACACTCATTGAATGATCCCTCTCTGAAGATCTCTCAAATGTCCTCCAAAAACACAGCGGGACTAAGCTCTATCCCATGTAATCCAAGGGGCCGGAGCAAGGGCACCAAAGGCAAAGGCACCCACCATTCGAGGCTCTTGGTTAGGCCCAAGAGTCAAGGCTCCTCCTGGCTCCAGAGCAGCTGCAGGGATGGGGGGCAGGCCACATCCTGGCAGAGAAGTCTGGAAGGTGAGACCCAGATGTCTGCCTGGGAAGAGGGACGGGGACCCTGGAGAGGCACGGCTGGGACAGCAACTCTGGGAAAGACCCCATTGAGTGCAGGCCCCTGTTTTCAGCACCTTCCAGTGATTTTTCAGATTCTTCAACATCCCTCGAGGCCAATGACCCCCATCACTGGATCCCGGTTTCTCAAATTGCAGTCTTGACTGAGATACAGCAAATGGACCTGTCTACACATCAACAGGGTTTCAAGAAGGGAGTGGGGAGGGAAGAAGCAAAGAAGAAAAGGCAGGAGGAGGAAAGCCCACGGGAACATCTTCCCTCCAACATTTCATTTTGTCTCATTTCAAAGCGTGCTTGTGTCTGGCTACTGTCATTTTGTTTCCTGGACAGCTCAGGGGACACGAGGACACTGGCTGTAACCCTCTCTCCCAATGTTTAGAATGAATCAGAGGAAGGGGAGCAGAGAAGAGGTAAATCAAACTTGGGGAGAAAGTTACCAAGTTGCCTGTCTTGATAAAAGTCAAGGATCCAAGGCTGGTTTCAGGCTATACAGGACAATTTGAAATTCTGAGACAGGATTTCTAACAGCATGAGGTGTTTATGGAGCCTCTCAAACGTGCTCAAGGAATTGGGCTTAAACAACAGGAAAGAACTATGTGGGCTCCAAATTCTCTCCCCTGCTCTGCCTCTCTCTCTACTGACTTTCTTCTTTCTCCTTCTAGATTCATGGTTTGGGATTCCAGCCAAACCAGGACTCAGTCCCACCACCCACCACTCAGTGCTTTTGATTCTGTGAAGCTAATCCGGTTGGACCATGACACCAATCAGATAAGAATCAGAAAAGACAAGTGTCAGGGTTATGGAGGCTCTAAGAAAAGGGGACCCTGATACTGTCTGAGAATAGAAGGTGATTGATGACAGCTAGACACGCATCTCTGTTATCCTCCCATCTCCCTATTGTGGGCTGATGGTCCGATTCGTACAGGAACCTCAGCAGACACAGCCAGACAAGTAAATCATGCTCTCAGCTGCATCAGCTTATCAGTCACAGAATCTGTGAGAATCAGAATCAAAGGCCAATGTGCATCCCTTGGTCCAAAAGGATGGAGAACATTGTGAGAGCCACAGCAGAGCCTCAGATGGGGAGGGGCCCTTCTAAGCTCTGGCATATGCCAGCATCCAGGTAGCTCACCAGTGGAGCCAGCCCTACCTGCCATTCTGGCTTAGTGGGGTGATTCTCAGGCCTACCTGGATGGGGTTAGAAGACTTGTTACTTGGTTGAATGCCACTGGAATACTCAAGATTACCCAAACTTGTACTCCATCCTTGAAGTGTCCAGGTGGGTAAGTGAGCCCCTCAAAATACCACCTAGAGGGCTCCAGGGCTAATGGGCTTGGGAATAAAGGAAACCATGAGGCACAGGAATGGAGATGCCTTCAAACTTAGTGCAAAGTCATCTTTGTTGCCAAGGGTCTGTATTCACAACCATGTCCAAGTTCTCAGCCAGGAATCCCCAGTAGGGTGCAAGAAAAAGCCCCTGAGACCCCAAGAACACCAGGGGAATGGGCTTTAGCAGAATCTAGTCCAAGGCCCAGATTCTAGAGATTCGGAGAGCCATGTCCAGGAGGTGGTGGCCAGAGTAAARTCAAGGTCAAGATCTTTCTACTGTTTGCATAATGGTATCTACATCAGGGGCTTCCAAATGCTGTGTTCAGTGAGAGAATGAGGGAGACATCAAATCCTCCCTTTGCCTGGGGAAGGGCGCACCTCCCTGTAGAGTGGTCCCACTCTGCTGGGTGCTAGCTAAGAGTTCTTCAAGACTGAGAAAAGGAGGCCCTCTGAGACATGAGCTAACCTGTGAAAGACCCATGGCCCAGAAGTCGGTAGTCCTGCATCCAGCCTCCCTTGGCATCCAGGAGGGCAGGGGAGGAAAGTAACCCATTCTACCTGGAGGGGCAGGTTCTTCCAAGCCACCACCACCACCACCACCCCCCGTCCCCACCCTCCCCAGTGAGCATCAGGCAGCTCTCTAGGAATTTTAAACCCCTTGGAGCCTGGTGGGTTCAGGAGCAGGGACAAGCCCCCTTAGCCCCTGAGGCAGGAAATAAACTTTGAGGGGGTTCTTTGGTTCAGAGAGACTTCTCAGGTATCTAATTCCCCTGGCTCACTCATTTCCCTGGGGAAAGATGCTGGCCTTCCATGGGATCACAAACCTTATATTAGGTTTCTACGGGCCAGACCCTCAGAAAGGATGTCTGACCTAGGGACCTCAGGAGGAGGTTAGGACTGTGCCAGGGCAGCCTCTGGGGCCAGACTGTGGTGAGACAGGTCCTCCTGGGGATGTGCAATGTGAGCTGGGCCAGACTGTGCTCCCCCACCTCAGGGCAACTCACTCTGGAGTGTTGATCCAGATGATGTCCAGGTGGCAATAGTAGACACACTCCTTGTCCTTGTAGGTGAAGCACGTGCAGCGCCGGGGGCGGTGGTGCACAGAGCCACCCTCTGCCTGCTCTCCAGACCAACCGGGCCCCTGCTTCTGCCCAGGACTTCCAGGATTCGTCCCTTCACCAGGGTCAGCCACAGTCTCTTCACAGTCACCCTCAGATCTGGTTGCAGGGGTCAGCTGGGGCACACCAGTCCTGCCAGAGCCCCCAGGCTGAAGGCAAGGAGTGAATCCTGCAGGAGGCAGATTGAGGGGCTCCTGAGCTACAGGTACAGAGGTTAGTTGCACTTTCTCTGGTCTCCAAGCTACACGAAAAGTTCTGAAAAGTTTGCAAAGCTATGTGCACAGTTTCTGAAAAGTTTGCAAGTTGTTGCATAATGAAAAACTTGCAAGCTATTTTCACTCTGCAAAATCTGCAAGCTATTTGCACTGGTTGAAAACTTGCACGCATTTTACACTTTCTGAAAACTTTGCAAACATTTTGTACAGTGTCTGATTAGTTTGCAAACTTTCTGAAAAGTTCCCAACTTCATGAAAAATTGACTAATTCTCCGGAGCCTGTGGGGTAGTCCTTGCTTGCCGCTTCTGCCCTCCAGCCTGCTTGCTCCCAGTCACCTCCAGGGATGCAGTTAGCTCTCTGCAACACAGAAACCCCTACTCCCCCACCCCCCACCCCCTCCCTGCTCCTATTGTGTGCGCTCCCGCCAGGAGAGGCTCGCAGCCCCGCCTGCTTACCTGTGGCTGAGGTCACTGTGAGCCCGAAAAGGAGCCACAGCCCGGGCTCCATGAACCCCATCAGGCACCGGAGCACCTTGCCTGGAGGAGGGCCGCCTGAGGCCGAGAAAGGGTACTGGGGCTGGGCACCGCTTTCAAGTTGGGCGGATCACTGTCTGCGTCCCAGGCTCCGGCCAACAGTTGGCTGCTGCGGTCACGAACTTTCAGAGTGTGCTGCCCATCCCTGCGCAAGGCTGGCGGCTGTGGGCTCCGGCTTTTCTGGCTCCGCACCACCCCTTTCGCCTCCCCGCCCCCCGGAGGGGGCTGGAGCTGCGGCGAGGGGCCTTTGAACCCGGGGCGCACCGGGGGTCGCCTCGTAGGCACTGGGGGAGTCCGCTTGGAGCTCAGCGGCCCTAGACGCACCCAAATCAGAGAGGGGCGGGGGCGGGGCGCGATCCGGTGGGTGGGGTGGGGGCCGGGACAGCTGCCGGAAGGCCACCGCGCGCATGAGTTTGTACTCGCACTCCCCGCCAGCTTGCTGTCCCAAGACCCGCAGCCCCAGATAGCAGCCCCCCACCCCAAGAGCAATAAGATGATAAAAAGGCTGCGCATAAAGGGTGTTATCTTTTATCTCAGGGTCTAAGGGAAACATTTCTCAAGGTTCACCTAATGACACCCTACCCTTGCACAGGGTGGACTTGCCAAGGGGCTGGGTGTACTTTACACTCGTGACTCATGGGCACCGAGTCACCGCAGCTGGCACCCTACAGTTCAGAGTGGTAGGTGGGGCTGTGGTCTAGGAGCAAAGTCGCAAAGACTCGCGGTTAGGTAGCGGGTTCGTGGTCCCAGGGAGCCGCACTGCTCACCACTCCTGCACTGGCCATGCTCCCTCATTCAGCAAATGTCCACCCAGTATGAGTGGCCCAGGGAAGCCCTTTGCTCCCTTCCTAACTGCCAATGCTCACTATCAGAGGCTCGCCCCAGCTCCATCGCAGTACTCTCATTGGGGACCCCAGGGCCTCTCATTTCTAGGGCACCTGCGGTTGCAAATCTTTTGACCCTCCTCTGATAGCCAGTGGAGTTGAATATCAGCCCTGCTCACCCACTAGCCCCAGTGACCTGCTCCTAAAAGCTCTAACCCAGAAGAGGTAACCTAAGGCAAATCCTAGAAGGCACTATGAATTCTACCCAGCTGGCTGTTGCCTCCACACACTGACTCTGAGCTCTGTATCAGGCCATGAGGAAGCCAAACCAGCCCTCCAGAGAGACTCCACGGAGCAACCTGCACGGAGAGAAACAGCCTGGCAGCCGACAGCCAAAGCCAGTCACTGGGAACAGGTGAGAAGATTGGAGTCCCAGCCTTGAAGAACTCCGACTGAGGATTTGTTCATTGGGGTGAGGACAACAATATGCCATAATGGGGGTGGCTAACACTCAGCTGGAGTGAACTTCTTGATGTATGCAAGTTAATTTCCCTAAGAAGAACTTGGCCAGTTCTGCCATGGCTGATCTACCTGATGGGCTGTGGGGAGGAAGGCTCAGCCCCTGGGCTGCTCCCTCCTCCAGCTCTGTGGTAAATTGTTGGCCATCACCTTGAAACCATAGAGGAGGGTGTGGGGTCTTGGGAGTCCAATCAAGGAGTCAGCAGGTGTGGCTCCTGGTGAGGGCCACTTTCTGCTTGCAGATGGTGCTTCTCATTCTCACAGAGGGGAGGGGGTGAGAGCTCTCCCTGGGGGCTTCCACCAAAGGGCACTAATCCCATGGGGAGGGGCTCCACCCATGACCTCACCACCTCTCAAAGCCCTCACTGCCTAACACCATCACCTTGGGGTTAGGATGCATCAGATGAACACGAGAGGGACATTCAGGCCATATACTAGTAAGATCTCTTTCCTTGGAATTAATGTCTGTCTCCTACAAAATAAAAAACTTATGGGACTGAAAGACACTGGAAAAATAGAAAATTCACTAGTCAGCTAAAAAGAGGAAAGCAGGTGGCAGTGTCCTGGCACGACCTGACACAGGTTGGCCAGCCTCGGGTCTTGGAGTCTAGAGCACTCGTCCTCACTGGCACTAAGGCAGCAAACTTGGATGAGCCCTTCAGGCTTCCGTAGGTGTGGCCAGGCTGGAGTGGGCCCTGCCCTGGGATCTCTGATGTAGGTGACATAAGGAAGTTTAAGGATAGAGAACCAAGGTACTGGGTATTAAGACCAGAGGACAGTGCACAGAGATAGAGTGTGTCCCGCTGGATGACCAGAAGAGGCAGAATTTTGATTGGTCCTGAAAGTGACCTGGACACCATGATAGAACAAGTGCCCACTGTGAAGTCCAGCACCAACAAGAAAGGAGGGTCTGAGCCCTTTCCTGCCCTCCTCAATCCTTCCAGCTGGGCCCAGGAGAATGTCCAGCCGGAGTAACTCTGACATCTCTGATGAGCTCCTACTGGAGTGGGGCCGCAGGCACAGGCTTAGAGCCCTCAGCAGGCTGGGGATGAGCCAGGGTTTTGTAGTGTTGTTTTCATTGCGCTTACTTTTATGTTTATCTTTTATTTATGGAAAGTAATTTGACTTTCCTCATGTGGTAGAGATAGAAATTCCTTTCTAAATTAATTTTCTTACGTCAAAAAAGTAACCTAAATTAAAAATATGAAAATTCATGGTAAAGGTGGTTGCAGACTAGGAAAAAAATAAAAAAAAAATGGTTTTCCCGTGGTTGAAACCTGGAGCTTGTAGATTTGAAGGGCAGGGGCATTGAACTAAGCTGGTGGGGGCGGGGGTCTGTTTTGATAGCAGTGTCCCTAAGGAAGAGGAGAACGGGCACCAGGATGGGAAGTCACATTGTTCTTGAAGATAACCCTCAGGGCCTGTGGAAATTAATAAGACACAGGTGATAAAGTTGAGCAAACTAGAGGTACAGAGGAACTTCAAAATTCTAAATTGGGGATGACTTTCTGGTGACTTTTACCGTAGTGTGGAAAGGCCCAGAGGAAACAGGCAGCCATTCCTCTCCACCTCATTGGTGCTGCCTAGGAAGTCAGAGAATGGGCTGATCTACCTGGTGGGCTGCAGGGAGGAAGGCAGACAGCTCAGCCTCTGGGCTGCTCCCTCCTCCAGCTCTGCATTTGTTAAATTGTTGGCCACCACCTTGGAGCCACAGAGGAGGGTGTGGACTGCTTTTCCCACCTAGTGCCCACTCCTGGCCTATAGTTAACATCCATCTTCTTTTTGGAGGACCCATCCACCCTTTGCCCAAATAGCCATGGTTGCAGTGCGGGTGGGACCTCAGTGCCTCTGAAGTCTGGGATTTCACTGTAGGCTGGTGACTGACATTTAGCCTGGGGACCTATTCTACCCTCCTGGCTACTGAGTTGGCAGCACATGTCCAGGCTGGACCAATAGAAATCAGTTTCAGGACTTCCTCTGCAACTTGAGAAAGAGGTTCTGTATTCACTGGAATTGTTGAGGAGAGAGACAATATAGTTAAAACTACGGATGGCCACCTGGCCATCCTGAGAGAAAGGCCCCATCTGAGGACAAACCCAACGTAGAGGAAGTGGGGTCAAGAGATGCAGTCTGGATTGGGGTCCCAATGCATCATTTGGGCATCCAGCTGAGTGATTGATGGTAACTCATAATTTCATTTATTTAAGCTTATTTGAGATCCAATCACTTTCCACTGGAAAACTCTGGCCTTCAGAACATTCCCGACTCTCATGGACTCCAGGCAAAGATGCCTACAAAGGAAGCATAATTCACTGATTCGATGACCAGCTGGTGATAAGGGTTTTAATCATTGTTTGACTCAAAAATTTTAAAGTAACTGACCTGCTATTGCACAGTTGTTAAATGGATTCAAATTCCTCTCTGTCTCATTCCAGGGACAGAGTTCGTAACCATTAGACAGGGCTGCCCCTTGAGCTCAGATTCCGTGTGTACAATGGTTCCTGCTTTCTCCTGGGTGCAGTTCCTGTGTCATTACCTGTCCATCCTTGGTGGAGTCTCACTATTCCCACCGTCTCTGATAGAAGGTCATGCAGAGGAGCCAAGACCAGGAGTCCCTCCTGCAGAAGACACTAACCGTAGTCTTTCTCCTCTGCCAAAGCCTGCCAACATTCCTTGATCTCCTTCATTGCATCTGCTGCACAACATACCCCCAAGAGGAACCAGATAGGATGCTTGTGAGCCCCGGCCCCATGCATGGTTTGGTCACCAAGTTTATTTTTCATCCACTTTTTCCGAGTCGGCAGATGTGTGTCTGTTGCTTCAAGATTGTGCCTTGCGCTGATATTTTGATTCAAAACCCAGCAGTGAAGCCTGCTGCAGCTGAGCCCAGCTAAGCGTCCCTGCAAGTCGTCCCTTCATGTGCTTTATGACTCTTTTGAAGATTGTTTTCTCTTAAGTTTAGGGGATTTAAGGGGCAGTAACAATACAATATGTAGTTTTCCATTGTCCCAGAATTTCTTCCCCCCACCCACCCTGACCAGCGGACGCTTTGAACTTCCTCAGAAACAAGAACAATTAAGTGATTTTCCACGTTTCTCCTGTCTTAGCAATGCACCCCGATCAGCACACAGCTCACTGTGAGTCACAGGAGGAGGCACCACACTCCACATTCATTGCTTTAAAAAATGACATTAATTGTAATGAAAGTTTCTGGTGAAATAAAATGATCATGATGCATTCTGAGCTTAAGCTCTGCCAACTACCTGTCAAGGCCTAAAAGAAACCATCTCACCCCCAAAAGAAATCTGTTAGTGAGTCTAACAATAATCGTTCAAGAGAGTCCCCAGTTTTTCTCTGTTTTCTGTTCTGGACATTGGCTGTTGTTGGCTCCTCGATATCCTGTCCCTGCATGTCTGGTGATGGACCACCTCTTTCCCTAGGGAGCTACCCCTTCCCATCCTTTATCCACACGGTTTCGGTGGGGCTCCAGGGTCAGGCTTGTGAATCTGGACTAATCAATCAGAATATCATATCACCTTTGAGATAAGCAAAATAATGGTCCCCCAAAAGTGTCTGCATCCTAATTCTTAGAATCTGTGAGAGTGTCACCTAATATGGCAGAGGGGACTTTGCAGCTGTGATGAGGGATTTTTTTTTATTAAATATTTATTCTTAAGT